TCCAAAAAACTACGATTAGAGCCCCATACCACACAGATATTTCCTTTCCAACCATCTTCTCAGAAGAATTAAAAACACTCTACTACAATGATATATGTGCACACAGTTTTATAGTAGCACAATTCATCACAGCTAAACCTTAGAAACAACACAAATGCCCATTAATTTAATAATGGATAAAAAAGATGTGGTCTTTTTATACAATAGAGTACTGCTCAGCCATAAAGAAGGATAAACTTGAGATTTTTATAGGTAAATGGATACAACTTGATATCATACTCATACGTGAAAGAAATCAGACTCATATATATAGACATCATATTGTCTTCTTGGTATGAGAAAATAAAAGAGTAAATACATTCTAAACTATATAATAGAGGGCCAGTGAGATAGCTCAGCAGTCTAAGTAGCTGTTTAGGCAAGCGCAGGGACCAGGGTTTGATCCTTGGAACCACATGCCATGCTGGCCTGGCCCCCTGGAAACACGGAGCTGGCCACCAAGTCCAGGCATGGTGATATGTGCCTGTAATCCCAGCACTGAGGATCTACAAGAGGAGGATCACTATGAGTCCAAGCTGTGTTGTGAGACTCTGTACCAAATATATAAAAAATAAAATATACAATAGATATTGTTAAATGGGAAGAAACATTTCAAAAGGAAGACAGAATTAGGATGGATGAAAGGGAAAGGACAATAGGGAAAAGGAATGAACACAAGTCTATTGTACTATTATTGCTTTTTAGTTCATTAAAAAGGACAGTTTGTGCTAATATGGACCACGGAAAATTTCACGTGCATGTCTTGTCTCCTGAGCAACTATTTTAAAGATTGCACCATGTAATGCATTAACTATTGCTATTCTATTATTTCATTATGAAATTTTGTTTTATCTTTGTCCCATAAAATAAAATTGAAAAAATAAAAGGGGGACATTGCGGGTAGCTCAGCTGCTTAAAATGCTGCTTGGGTAAATGCAGGCAGGTGCATAGGATCATGGTTCTATTCCCAGCTCCAGCAGCTATACCAGACCTGCCCTGAAGGCAGACTGAATTAGCCAAAAAAATAAAATAAATAAAAATAAAAATAAAAATAGAAAAATAAAAATATAAAAGGAAAGCCTTACAATCACATAGCAAAGAAAACCAAATAAAAATTTAGAAAATGCTTACCTATTTCTTGATTTTCTATTACCTTCTGTACCAGTTGAATTCATTTCTTAAGCAAAAAATGTATAAAAGGAAGTTTCATCACACAATGTCTATCTTTTTTAAGAAAGAGGAATGGGAGAAAGACATCTTTCCTTGTAATTTCATTAATTTTGATTGTTTGAAATGGCTGTCATTAAGTATTTGAGCCAATTTGCCAAAAAACAGTTGAGGCATTTCCTACTGAAAACAGAAAATACTATATACTCAGATTTCATAAAGTACTGAGACATAGCTTAAAATAATGAAGATCAATTGTTTCTTTCCTAACCAGTAGTGTTTATCTGTACCAATGTATCATATTTCAAATATTGGAAGCCTCTGAAGTGATTTTTCTTTTATTTTCTGTTTTTTTTTTTAATGTATTTGATACAGGGTCTCCTTGTGCAGCTTGGACTCATAGTGATCCTCCTGTTTTCAGCCTCCCCAGTGCTGGGATTACAAGTGTATGCCCCACACCCAGTCTTAGTGGCTGGCTCAGTGTGCCCCGGGGTGGGGCCAGTGTAGCATATAGTATAGAGGCTCAAACCCCCAGTCCCTGCACTTGCCTAGGCATGTGCTTAGTCTACTGAGCTCTCTCTCAGAGCCTCCCTGAAGCTATTGACTTCCTTTGCATACAAATTTTGAAATATTCCTTATTAAGCATCAAACAGCATGGGATTTTAGATGAATAAACAAATAGATTACTTCAAATCTCTTTAGTATCTTTATCCTATAGTCTCATAAACCCTAATATTTACTTTAAAATAAACCTAGACTTATTATATTTTAAATATCAGAAGAGCATTCTCAAGTAATTAGAAAGCATCTTTTCATGGTATAGTATGCCTATTGCATAGTATTGGAGAAGTAGTATCCTATTTTGGTCAAAGATTGTTCTCTGTTTTGTCACTTTGCAAATAAAAGCAAAGTTTTAAAATCATGTTTTAAAAGAATGTTTATTAAATGTTGAAATGTGTGCCTCAAAACAGCTGGCATATGGTCTGTGGAAATAGCTCAATATGCTCTTTCGCGGCAGTGATTATTTGTTTAGTGCAGTGTGACTACGAGATGCAAACAGTCATAACCGGCCTGGGTGCAGCCAGTCTGGGTTTTTACCTGAATAAACAAATTAAGTTCACTAATTTAATTAGAGTATTATACATTTTATTAATTTCAATCAATGCACATAAACCAGTTGCTTATAAGATGAACTTTTTTTTGTCTACTGAACACAGAGTTGGCCAGGTTTTAAAACTTGACATTTTATTACTTCATATTACCCCAGGATCCTTGAGCATTTGTGTTTTCATTGTTTTACAGTTTTGAGTTAATATGTATTGCATCACTTTTATTTCACTAAGAAATATAGACATGAAAATTATTTAATTTTTAAATTTTTGTCAGCACATAATGTTTGTCATGCGTAATTGATTACATTCATCAAGGGACACTGCTACATGTACATAAATGTCTCCTTCCTTTTATTTCCTCTCCCTTCCCCTTTCTCCTCCACCTCTTTGCCCCCTCCTGTTACCTATTATCTATTACTTTGTTTTTTAAATTATTTATACTTTGAGTTTCTCATATAAGAAAAACTTAAGCTTTAAGTGTGTATAGTGAAAGCACTTATCATGGAAACTGGAGGAGCGTGCAATGCTCCGAATTACATACTTCCCATACCTTAATAGTTATCTAGTAAAAGGTTACGCCACAACTGGCAGTGTATTTGCTAGTAATTGCAGAAAATCATTTTTGTTTATGTTGATTTGTAAAAAAAAGTTTATGGATTTACCACATGAGTACAAAATATATGCAAGATCATATTTAAGGCTTTATCTGGAATAAAGCCAGACATACAACATAACAGATTGCAAAAGCATGAAAAAACTATACTGTCTATGAAAAATGATAGTAATGAATTTTATACCCCCGAAATATATATCAACTCTATGAGCTATAAATCCTTTCAGCAAACAAAGGGAAGGGCCCTTGAGTTATGTAAGTCTTTCTTTCCATCCTTTTCTTTAAACCTAGTATATCCTCCCCATCAGGTCTCCGTAAGGATTCTCTGAACCAGAGCGCCTCAGTTGGTACTTAGCTGTGTATTAGACAGGGTGTGTGCAAAAACCCAGGCATTGCAAGTGCTCCGCAAATACCCAACAATGTTACTGTCCACTGTTTTAATGTTCTTACATTTGCAAGTCTACAATAGTGTTCTATTTATAGCAATAATTACTAATAACATGAAAAAGAAAAAGCCCTGGAGTAACAGGAAAAATCTTTTAAATCTTAGTTATATTCTGAACTATTTTTTTGAGCAAACTACCAGCTAAAATTCTATCCAAATGTCCTCTTATTGACAGAAAAACTAATTAATCAATTAGTAAATAATCAATATCTGTCAACCTGATATCTTTCACTATTACTAACTTCCTTCTAAAATTATCTCAAGCTTAAATTTAAGCCCAATCTATTTTTACATCGTATGCTAATCCTTATTGATCCTATTGCCTTATCTAGTTCACTTTTAAAGTTTATATTTACTATATTATTCAAAACTTTTATTGCCACATAGAAAATACTTTTAGCTTCCAGAGTGATGCGACAATAATTAGATTCTTGAGTGTTTACATTTACATTAGTCAAAAGAAATGCTGTAACGCAATATTTAAGAATGTTGCTAAATAGCACTGCTATTTAAAGCATCCCTATGTGAGAAAGATATTACTCCTTAATTAGCATCCCCAAACTGTTTCAATTGTATGTGCACACGTATTACTGTAGGTGTAGTATCCTATATAATTTGGTTTCCACCTAGAGTAGTACTCTTCATAATGGCATGATACAGTTGCATGCATTTTGATGAGACACCATTAAACGGATGTAGTATTGGATTAATGTGTCTGCATATAAGAAACGTACTAATTCCGTCATGTTAACCTCGCCAAAAATGATAGAAAAAGGTAGCTACCTACAGTGGCTTTGGAAGGCTTCCTGGCGAAGCCCGGTATGGATGATCAGCCTGCTACAAAAATACTGAAGCAGAGTATTTCATTTTCAGTGACCACAGCTGAGGGTGGCGTATTTTGGAGTTCGTCGATCGTTCGTACAGTTTTGTAGAATGCATCTGACTCGGAGCCTCTCTTCATCGCATTCTCGCACACCTAAGACTATTGCACCTCGCCCAGCGCTGCAGCGCCGCTCTCCCTCTGGCCCTGCCTCTCCCTCTCCGTGTCAGGGGTGGGCAGCACCTGGAGCGGACCTTCAGGGCTTGGGCCTTACAGTTGTGCTCTAAGAGAAGAGGATGGCAGCGAGAGAGAATTGAGAAAGGCCTGGCTCTTCCTTCCGAAAAGACAGGTCTTTTAAGGGTGGAAAAAGAACTCTACTGAAATCTTCAAAGGAAGGAAGCCTAGGTGTGCAGTGTGGAGCCATAAGAAATTCATACGCTCTGTTCTGGTGGACTGCATTGGCCGGCTGGGGGTTTATTTCGTGATCAGCCTATCAGAAAAACCGCACCACACAAGCCAAAGTATTTTTAAAACGGTGCATTTAAAACTCAAGTTATAAAGACACCGCACACTTAAATACTGTATTTCCTTGGCTTGTTTGAGGCAGATATGGACTACAGCCTTGAGGTCTACGCAAACCTCATTTGGATGATGAAAACTCTGCTGCGTTTATCAGCTCGTCAGTTATTCTTTAGAGAGGTAAGGATCCGAGCAACGAAGAACACCGTTTCACTTCGTTACAGGCCAAAGTACTGAAGGACACGAGAAGGAGTGGCAGCAATTATTGTTCCTGTGTTTTTGCAGATGCCAGCACTGCCTTGGGGACCAAAGAGGAGCAGCAGCCTGCCTAAGCCTCTTCCTTAGGCCTCGCCCACGTTTCTGCACAAGTCCCCCGGCCGCAGCCTGCGGCAGGAAGGCTCCAGCGCCCGTAGGTGGCGCCCCACGTCCGTGCTTGCGCTCCTCGCTGGCGCAGAGGGTGCCGCTCACTCTGAAACCCGGTGACTCTCCCCAGGTCGTTAGAGCTCAGAGCCGGCGTTTTAATAAATAAGCTTGGTGCCAAAGCGCTCCGAGCACCCCAAGGTTCAGAGGAGCAGACTCGTAAACCCAGGCGGGGTGCGCTTTTTCATTCTTGCAAAACCTGACAATTCTAAAACTGGAGATACTGGAGCCTCAGCCTTTAAACCATTAAATCCCCAAGCTTTCTCGTTTCATACGTTTGTTTCTTTTTCTTTAACTTTTTTTCTTCCTTTAATTATGAAAGTTGTCACGCTATTCAAGAGTAAGACTTGGAAAGAATTTGGAAAAGAAAAGAAAGAATCAAAAAGAAGAGACACGGCTGGTGCTTTTGAGGGTGCCTAATTTTCAAAAGGATTTCGCACTGGGTGTTTGGGTGAGAACCGGACCTGAGGGGTGCGGGGTGTTTCGGGGATGCGGGGGAGGGAGTTCCGAGCCTGGGGAGAGAGATTCACGGAGTCCCTAGCGCCATGACAGCGACGGACTGTGCTCTCCGGAGCCTGCAGGAGAGGCTGGGACGCAGGGGCCGGGACGGAGAGCGGAGCGGTGGGCGCGCTGGGTGCAGCGGCCGAAGCGCCCTGCAGCAGCGGGTTGCGCGCAGTGCAGCTCAGGACTCCGAGTGCTCTCAGGGTACCTCGTGCAGCGCCCGGGTCAGCGGCGCCCAGCGGTTGCGCTGCAGGGAACAGAGCAGGGCTCCGCGCTGTGCCGGGCGTGGGGTGCTTCTGGCGCCGAGCGGGCGTGGTGCTCACCGGAGCGGGCGCAGGCTGTCGCGGGAAAGCGGCAGGGCGGGGCGGCGCGGTTATTGGCCGCGCGGCGGGAGAAGGGTCGCGCTCCGAGTCCTCCTCCCGCCAGCTCCTGCTCGCCTCGTTTGCTCTAAGCAGAACAACTTCGCGGGTGGCGGTGCTCGCCGGTCATGGACGTTCCAGGTAATCGAACCCTGCGCCTGCCTTCCAGGATCCTTGCATATTCTTTAATGAGGACAGGCGCGGGTGTGATGTCGGGGAGGAGTGTGGGAGGAAGAATCTCCTAATCCCTTTGTGCCGGGACTGAGGACAGCGGACATATTGAGAAACAACTTCCCCTTTCTTGGAAAGAACAGTGGAAGAGTTGCTGCGAGGCTGTAGGCGGTGAGGGGTCAGGCTCGAGGCTTTCTGTTTCTCGGCTGGGTATCTGCATGACCCGGCTGGTGTAGTGCGAGAGAGAAAAGGACAGGGTAAAAGTGTCCACGGGCGCGTAAGTTAGCGACACCCACAAGGGCTGCCTCCCAAGCCGGGGAGAGGGGCGCGGGGTGCAGAAACAATAGCTCCAAGGCAAGCAGCACCTGGGACTCCGGCCGCTGGTTCTGTCCTTGGCCAGGGAAACCTGAGGAGTTTCTCCGAGGGGGCTCGCTAGTGGCTGCAGGGACCTGGGTGTGAGCTGGCAGCACTGCTAAGTGCATCCATCCCAGTCTCCCCCACCCCTTAATTTCATGCATCCCAAGAAGGAGCTTTCTGGGGTTTGTTCTTTGGGTCAAAATAGATTATTTATTTATTTTGTTACTAAATGGACTGCTTTTAAAAACACCTCCCGACGGAAAACAGAGGGTGAAAGAGAAGGAAAAAAAAAAAGATTTTTTTTTTTCTTTTTGTCTTGGTGTGGCTTTCAGGACAACGGCTCTGAGATGAGAACACTTTCTTTTTTCCTTTGCCTGTGTCTTAAACCTTTAGCAAAGTGGGAAGGAGGCGACGTCGAAGCTGTCTCCTGGCCAGGACCTAGTGCTCTGCTCTGTGCTCTAACAGAACGGCGGGACCTTTTCGTCCTGCGCTTCTGAGCGCGGCGCGCGGGAGCCTTCCGGGTGCCGCTCCTCCGCGCGCCCAGTCTTTTCTCCAGACCTGTGGTGCTAAACTGGGGGTCGAGGTGGCTGTGGACCTAGGAGATGGTAGTCAGAAAGGGGGCCCAGCCTCCCAAGCAACTGCTGCGTGCTGGGCCTTTTCTCCACCTTTACCCCGTCTAAGGATTTGGGTTCTGTGCCCTGACAGGTCCGCTGGCGTCTTCCTCCTGAGAAGCTTCCTGGCCTTGACCATCAGAGAGGGGTACCAAGCCCAGAGGAGGCTACTGCCGCCCCACGCGTTCTTGCGCGCCCTGTGGCGCTCGTCCCGCCCCGTCTGCGCCCGCCCCCAGCTCAGCCGCCCCCCAGCCCAGATGCCGACGCCGGGCAGGGGCGCCAGCTGGCGGCAGCTGACCATGCCCCGGCGCCGGGGGGCGCTGCGGGAGCCGGCTGACTGTGGCTCCTGCCTGGGGGCGGCCCTGGCCTTGCTGCTGCTACTGCTGCCCGCCTGCTATCCCGTGCGGGCGCAGAATGACACGGAGCCCATCGTGCTGGAGGGCAAGTGCCTGGTGGTGTGTGATTCAAGCCCCTCGGCGGACGGCGCGGTCACTTCCTCCCTGGGCATCTCTGTGCGCTCTGGCAGCGCCAAGGTGGCCTTCTCCGCCACACGCAGCACCAACCACGAGCCTTCGGAGATGAGCAACCGCACCATGACGATCTACTTCGACCAGGTCAGCGGGTCAGCTGCCCACCAGCCTGGGGAGTCGGGGCGGGGCCAGCGTTCAGGTTGGGGTCCCGCTTCTCCCAAGAAGAGTTCCAGCCTTTTTCTTCCACTGCCCTGTGCTTTTGGACATCTTTTTTTCTAATGTGCTGCCCTTCCATCCCCCCTGCCCCCGTTTTTAATCTTTCATCTGTCAGCTCATTTGGATTATTGAGAGTCCAACACTTTCCAAATATCCTGTAAAGCTGAGGTTTAAAACATATCGCAGCAGGTTTTCTTTCCCCCAGTGGACGGTAAGGGGGGAGTGTTTGTGGTTAAGGGTCTATAGCCCCTCAGGGGCCAAAGTTAGGACCTAGCATGTGCACAGCCCTGCTGAACAGGTTCCCTCCAAAGGGCCCTGTCACCGGGCGGACAGTGTGGAATTACTGCTCATTTTGAAGGCAATACTGGGGAATAAGTATTTTAGAGAAAAATAAGTGTGGGGAAAACAGCAGAGACGTTTTATAATTACAGAATCAGGTGGTTATATAAATACAGTGAAGAGTAAATGAACTATAATGTGCACATGTAACCTATACGACTTTTTAGTGTAGCTGTATAATTGAAGAGCAGTCACTTTGAGCTACTTAACTTCTGTCACTTGTTTCAAAGCAGCCCTGGGCAAACCTTTGCAGTTCTTTACCCAGCATTGTCTGCACTCTGGGTTTGAAGGTCTTGACCTTCTGTGCTCACCCCTCCCAATTTTGGTTTCTATTATATTTTAGAGGCAATTTGAAAGCATAATTTCAGACCTTGGACAATCAGCTAATTCTTTTGCCAAAGTGCTTCTTACAAAATGGAGTCCTGGGTGGTCACAGACGGCTTTCTGGTGTTAGCGAACATGCTTCTCTGGCTTTGCCTTCTGTGCTGACCAGCACTCGATCCTTCAGCACAGCACAGCACAACACAGCACAGCACAGCACAGCACAGCACAGCACAGCACAGCACAGCACAGCACAGCACAGCACAGCCCTGCCCTGTCCTAGGCCAGTGTCTTCATTTCAAAAAGTCCTGGAGAATCATCTGTTTGATGGATTTGTTGTGGGTGTGTGTGTGTGTGGGGGGGCTTTTACTTTAGCATGCTGTTATTTACAAGACATAAAAATACCATTCTAATTATTTTCTGATGAAGAAAATGAAACAGGTTGTTGGAATTTATATGCTCTGTTAATAAGTTCTTCTTGATGGATCATTATTGTAATGCCATTATATTATGCTTACCAATGTCTTACAGTTAGTGTTCACTGCACTACTACATCTGCATTTCAGCTGGGTGAAAATTCTGATGAAGTACAGGATGCATGGAAATAAGATTCTAATTTTGTACCTTAGCAAATTGTGATAGGATAGATGAAAACTTGTTTGCTTGACTCCCAGTTAAGGTGTGTCTGAGACCCACTTTTCAGGGTCTGACCTGATGTCCTCCCATCTGTAATAAGACCCTGATTTTACCAGCTTCTAGAATTTAAAATTGAGGTGAAGGAGTAGAAGTTAAAGGAAAAGGCAGCAGAGCGTAAGTGGAGAATCCTTTATTCTTTTCTGAAGCATTGTGAGGGAGACATAGCGTAGCGCTGGGAGGCTGGGAACAGGCATCCCGAAGCACTTTGTCTCCAACAATAGAACCTGGAATGTTTGCAGAAGACCTCCCCTTGAAGGGCTCAAGTGGTGCTCACAGCCAGGTCTGGTCCAGGACGGGGGAACCAGTGTTTTCCACAAGTCATGTCCACAGCTGTTCATAGTCAAGTTCCTTTGGGAGTTGCATGTTATTCATATATAATGAGCACATAAAGTGTAACAGCAAAAGGTATCTGGTTGAAGTTTATTCTATAAGCAGATGACAAAATCTCAAATACAGGGTTTTGACATTGTTCTTAGCAGCTTGTTTTAAAAGCCAAGAACACCAGCGGGCCATTTCCTTACTGTAACAATTCAATTCCCATATGAGCAGGAACAGTGACAGGATCCAGGCCAGGGGGCCAGATTTTGTCAGGAAAATGTCTGAGAGAGGTTTGTGTCATATAGGGGAACTTGCCACTCTTTAACTTCTGCTCATAACATTAACAAACTCTAACCCTTCTGTTACGGAGGAACCCCATTAGCAGGTCACGTCATCCCCTACCCATTGACTCAGTGTGTCTTTATTCTTGCATGGAGTGGAATTCCATAGTGGGGGCAATGGTGTCCAATCTACCAATTCTCTTCTGTGTATTTATTCAAGCTTATTTGCTTATTTGCACCATACATCCGTTAAAGGAGCAATCACACTGCCCAGAGCACAGAGAGGAGAAACTGAGGCATCCAGGGTTTATTGATAAATCATTTTCACTCACCATCCATTATTAAGAACCTAGTATTACTGTCAGGGACTCCGAAGCACTGGAGAAGAAATGTCAGAGACTGCCCTTCCCTGGAGTATATGAAGGTAGGCCCTGAGCTTGGTCTTTCAGAAGTGATCTTGCTACATTGCTCTTGTTGCTCAACCCTTTCTGTCTCCATTCAGTGTGGAACTGTGTCTGTTAATCAGCACATTGTGCACGTTGAAGTCCCTGCAGTGCACAGACTTTAGATATAGATCTGATTTACAGTTGATTTACTGAATTTCCTGTCTCTCATTCCTTTCTCAATGCCCTGACCCTCAACTCAGAAAAAAATCATATTTACCTTCTGAATATGTAAATAAAGTATACCTTACAAATCTTTATGCATTATTGCCCATTAGAGTACCTGTGAAATCCATCCGTGCTGGATGGTGGTTTAACTTCAGCACTTCCTCCTACCTAGGGCGGGAGAGAAGGCTGACTTGGTTGTACAAGCTCCTCTGACTAATGAAAAAACAATATCACTGGTTTTCTGAGAGTGATTAAAACACAGGCCAAGCGGGGCTTGCTATGTTAGTATTGTATTCCCTCTTCTTTTTCAGGTATTAGTAAATATTGGCAACCATTTTGATCTTGCCTCCAGTATATTTGTAGCACCACGAAAAGGAATCTATAGCTTCAGCTTCCACGTGGTCAAAGTGTATAACAGACAAACCATCCAGGTGGGTAGCTTTGAGGACCGGGCCATTTCAGGTCTGGTGCAGAGTCTTCCATTGCTGAAGGCTCATTGTTTGGTCTGTGGGGCTGAGGAGCCAGGGAGGTGGGCTTGGCAGGGTTCTTTGGCTCCAAGGTGGCCAAAAGTTCCCTTTGTTAGCCCCTGGTGTGGCCTCTAAGGGAAAGGCAGGGAGGATGGCTGGGGACAGAGAAGAAGGAAACAGTGTGGGGGTTTGGGGTGCCTCATGGCCTACTGAGCTTTCCCCTCTGCATTTTAGGTCAGTTTAATGCAAAATGGCTACCCAGTGATCTCAGCATTTGCGGGAGACCAGGATGTTACCAGAGAAGCAGCCAGCAATGGTGTCCTGCTGCTCATGGAAAGGGAAGACAAAGTGCACCTCAAACTGGAGAGGGGCAACCTCATGGGGGGCTGGAAATACTCCACATTCTCGGGCTTCTTGGTTTTTCCTTTATAGACACAGAACCCCCTGGATGTTGGGGATGTTGCGATCTGGATGCAGGAATCCACCCTTCATAATACCCTGAACTTTCCAGAATAGAACAACCTGGTTCCAACTTCCATCAGACTGTTGCATTAGAAGAATGATTTCCTTCTAAATTTCCGGTATTTTCTTTGAATATTGACAATTCCTCGGGAACTTGGCCTCTTACTAGTTTTAGACAACAAGGTCTTAAGGAGAAATGAAATTATCGATTTGAGCAATTTGTACCTGTGATTGTAAAGTCAATATTGGATTTTATTGTTGGGACCATCAACTTATCTTTTTTGTTTGTGCGCTGTGTCATTATCCCAAGGCAAGCATGCCCAAGGCCCCAGGAGGGACGCCGGGCTGCAATCAGGGCTCACAGCGAGACCCAAGCAAAGACCACCTGCTGGGAAGTCCCTGACATGTGTTCTGTGTCTGTATAGCCTTAAGAAAAAGAGTGGCTTCACTTTCATTCTGTGTTTTTCCTCTGGGTAAATGGGAGGACTTGGGAGGGGGATAAGGCCGTTGTGAACCTGTCAAGAAGTGCTTTATCCCGAGAAGCAAATTTTGCACGTTTGGACTGCAACTTTTGTTTTATATTTTTTTGTGTGTTTTTTTTCCCCTCCAGAAATTTACTTTATTTTTCATACTAGGCTGTTTCCCCACAGCCCCACTTTTAGTTTTCATGCCAGGGTACTGGAGAGAAAGATGTGTGTTGAATTCATGGATGAGATTAAACAGAACAACATCTGTGTACTTTGCTTTGGATGAGACCAAACCAAGCAAAAAGTATTTGTCAAAGTAACAATAGCAAATGGGTATTTCTGTTTACTCATTTCAAGAGTCTTGGATGCCCCTTTAGAACTTGCAACCTGGACTTTATTTATTTATTTAACACTCTGGAATCCCTTAAGAACCTGGCATTCTTGGGTTATATAGGAGATGAAGCTGAGTTGGGAAAATTCCCTACACAATTTTTCCACCATGCATTTTGCTTTATTTGGCTCCACCTCTAAGTGAGCAGCACACAGTGATCAAGAGTGTAAAAGAAAACAGGACCAGAGGCTCATCCCTGGGTCTCCTTTTGATCTACCATAGAAAGGGAAGAGTTGATACTCCCAGGGAGCACCTGGCAAGAAGCCACCTGGAAGTCACAGTGGTTAAAGGTATTGGCTGAGGTGCCCAGGAAGGGTTTTACAAATTTGTATTATTTTGGCACCTTGTATAACAGTGTTATTAATACTCGGCTGAGAGTTGGTTGGTGTAGGTTTCCTATGCCAAGGACATGTCACCAATCACAAAGCAATCGAAGAGGAGACCTCAAACCGGATGTTAATTTGTCCTTTGTGTAATAATGTAACCAAAATATTGATGATAAAAACTAATAATTTAAGATACAGAATAAAATGGGTTTGATGTCTGACTTTCTCTGATCCCTCTAAATCGTCTCCCAACTTTCAAAATAATGATAAAATGTCAGGGGCTTGGGGATGTCAGATCCCTGCAGACACTCTTTGAGACACACACACATGAACACACACCCATATGTGTAGATGCTGCATTAGGTGTTGCTGGAAACTGCACACTAGCCACATTTACTTACACTGAGCAT